TATAATTCAGGCACGTGCACCAGAAGGGTACAGTCATCAAACCTAATCAGTACTGTGCAGTTGAGTAAAGTGGCAACACGCGCCTGAAGCTGATATGGACGCCGGGAAAAGTAATTTCATATAATCTCAAAAGATTTTAATGCTACGGGAGCACTACAGAGCAGCGACCTTCATTCATATGCCATATGTAAATACTCACCCTCGATCCATAGTCAGTATTGTCATCCACAGCCGACGAGGAGTAACTCCTCTTCTTGTACAGCTGGCCTACGCGTGGAACAGAAGCATCTTCCGGAGGCTTCGCGGAGGCTTGTTTCGATCTGGTTGCGGGCGAGCTCGTAGAACTGGAAGATGCACTCGAGGCCTGCGCCATTAGCGTCGGATCCGTGGGTTCAATGCTGAAAAAGTCCCGAACAACGGCATCGACCGGAATAGTTTCGGCTGTTTTTGTTTCCGTTTCTTTTCCTTCCGGGAGTACAGTAGACATGGCCATGGTCTCAGACACCTCGCTCAAAGTGTGTGGATCAATTGATGCAGAAAGGAACTGCAGGCTTGCTCCACCAGCACTCATAAAGTACTCCTTCGCAGTTGGGGGACTGGGTTTCATCATCACGGGTTCTAGACAGGCTCCTCTTTCATCAGGCAGCTGCAAACTTCGCTTGTCTGCCGTTTCCATACGAGATGAACGATCCTCGCCACTGTCTCGAGCACGACAAGGGCTCTTGTGATCCCCTTCCACAATGACAGAGGCTCCTTCTGTTACGGCTGGGGATAGAATGCCTAATGCCTTTTCGACCCCAGACCCGGTATTTTTGAATTCAGTAAAATTGGGCACCACTGTCGATGACTTTGAAGTTCTGCATAGGGGAGAACAAGTGTCCAGAGTAGTGGGCCTAAAAACCTGTGCCATAGGCGCAAGTCTGCTCTTCTGCCCTTGTATATTTTGAGTGGAAATGTCGTGTTGGTCTACCGTCTGTATTTCATTTGCCATTGCTGGCATGCCCTTATTGGACTCTTTCGAGGAGAGTACTTCACAAACTGTCGGTAGAGAATCGGATGAGGTTAATTTCTCGGGAGGTGCAGGTCGCGAACCCACTGCCCAAATAGAAGTATGCTGAGGTCGACAGTCAGTCCGTTCAACCACGTCTCGTGGTAGCCTCGGGTGAGATCCAAACACCTCCCGCGGCTCATTCATCATATCGTAGCAAAACTCCGCCGCCTCATTCATAAGGCCACTATCCATATGGGAAAACCTAGTTGGAAGGTGATCCTCAAATGAACCGCCAGACAGTGTCATCGCCATTGCAGGGCTCATTTCGCCAAACGAACTCATGCCAGATGCGTATGCGGGCACTCGATATACGTCGGTGCTAATTTTTCTCGGAAGCTCAGCTGACCGTCCAGGCGTAAACTGTCCTCTATCTTCAGCTGATTCACGTTTAAAGTCCATTCCAGAACGTGGTACGGGTGTTGTCTGATCGGATGAGACAAGAGTGAAATCTCCGGAACGAGGTACTTCAGTATCAGACAGACGTGCCAGGGCAGCGGACACCTGTCCGGCTATGGTTGGCAGCGACAGAGGTACATCAGTCGTTGGCTTGCCTATCGGAGCTTCCGCCACGGTCGGCATCTCTTCTTTGGGCATCGGATGGGGTTGGCGAGTGTAAGGCGCAGAAATTGATCGCATTGAGCTCCTCATGCTGACCTCTTCACTTCTGGAGTTTCTGGAATCCACAGATATCCGTCTTCCCGGATGGACATACTTTCTAGGACTGACAATTTGCTCTTGCAGTCGCGTTTCAGGGGCAGAGCTTGTAAAGCTGTCCTTTGAAGAGGCCGACAGTGTACTGTGAGCTGCGAAAGAGCTTTTCGAGTTGCGCCGATTGCGAGCCTCTTCTAGTGAGGCCACAAATCGTCTAGTGAAGCGCCGCTCGTAGAGGGACTCGAATATTGACTTCTTCGGTTGATGATTATCGGGTGCGTTTGCTAATTCAGTCGGCTGGCGAAGAAGAAGAAGAAGAAGAAGAAGAAGAATAGAAAAACGCAGTCAGGCAACAACCATTAAAAAGACTTGCTTTCGCACAACAGTGTTAATTAATTCAATATGATAATCGGTGAAAGTTAAGTTGGTTTCCCATCTTAGATAGGCCTAGCTCCTAGTCCTCTGGTTAATCTTAGTCTGGGGAGCATACGTACCTTTCGATAAATTCTCTTCGGGCCGTTACATTTATATAGGGAGGGCGTACAAAGTAACATTCTGGCAGGTTCGCTTCCCTTCTTAGATGTCCTCCTAAGTCGAAGACCTGATGGTAACCTCCGAAGAAGCGTTTATCGTAATAAAACCTGGTCCGGACAGTACACAAACTTTAACAGTTTTGTACCCATCCAACAGAAGCGTAATCTGATCCGCTGTTTAACGCAAAGAGCCAGAAAAATCTGTTCGGCAGACACTATTGAAATGGAGCTCCAAAAACTCCAAGACCTGCTGCGGGAGAACGGGTGTCCGGACAGATTCAGCATGAAGAATATAATGGAGAAGGAACCAAAGCCCGCAACACCCACTGTAGAAAAGAAGACTTTATTCCTTAAAGCTCCCTTTCAAGGGGACGCAGCAATCGAACTTCTCATCAGACGTCTCAACCAAGCCGTAGCACGAACCTTCCCAGCAGCGAACGTTCGG